TATTTATTTATCAGTCACCACAGTATGGGTTTATTTGTTGGGTGGATGAAGCAAAAAACAATAATTCGTTGTTAATTTTTAAGTTAGCTCGATCGAAGAAGAAGCTACAAAGCAAAATACTGCACTTGAAGATAGCATTACTTTGTAGTTGGATTTTCTTTTTTGGTGTTGTTGTCTACATGTTGTAAGCTAAATGTTCCTCAACTAAGTTTATGTAGCACTTATCGGTTACTCTATGTAAAATGTAATGTACGTTTTTATTTTTAATGGTTTATATTTCCATCTATGGAAATTTGTTGTGCTATCATTTTCATATTATTTTGTACAACTTGTAATCCATTTTTTTCGTTTGACTGCAGAACACATGTTGTTTACAAATAAAAAAGTCAAAAGTGGTAGACACGAACATTGCATTGAGTAACTGATAAAACAAACATGAATTCTAGAATATCAAAAATTGATTACATCAAATAGAAATTAGAATTAGGGAAGGAAGTTCTAACATAGATAAGCTCCCTACCATACATTTTAAGCTACAAAACAAACTTCACCTGAGATTAGAAAATGATTAAAAATAAGGTAGATTCTTCATAACATTCCAAGAATCAACATGGACAAATTCTCTATTGGTAGATTCCAAACGAAATAACTCCATAGCCGCCAGTATAATTCCTTGTTCATCCTCATCAGGACGTGCATTTTCGATCTCGCTATGAATTCTATGAAAGTTCTTCACATGTCGTTTCACTTGTAACATTTTTAATTTTACATCTTTTTTGTGCAGTAATAACCTCGACCCATCTCATAATGAAACAAGTGAAAGACGCGACTCCAAAAAGAACCAATTCGACATTCTGGGGGACCATGTGTAACGCCCGTAGATCCGGGCTAGTCAATTTAGAGACGATAAGCATCAAAAATGACTTTTTTATGGAAGATTATTTACAAGGATTAATCTTAACCAAGTTGTAGTATATGGCATAAGGTTTCTGTGCATATAAAGAACGCCAAAATCCGAGTTATAACGAAGAAGTTATGACCTGTCGAAGTTTCGGGACAGAACTCGCACGACACAACGTGACGTAAATAGTGAATTTACGTTAGAGCGATATTTATCCAAAACAATCTAAATGAGAATTGAAGATCTCATCGATATTAGTCCAACGATAAAAAGGCAGACGAAAACGGAGTTCAGATGAAGGAGTTATGAGTTTATAACGGAGTTTTCCTGTCCCGGCCTACTAAAAATAATATATAAGTAATGTAATTATAATATATTAAAAATAAAGTCAAAATTAGCCAATGGAGTCTAAACGAGAGTTGTAGAGCATAATCTCACCTTCGCATCGGTATAAAGAACGTCAAAAACGGAGTTCGTATGCGAAAGTTATGAATTTATGAAGTTCGGGCCGCGAAACCCCAAAACTGTCAGAGACCACGACGTGGCAAGCAGTGACACGACGTGGCAAGTCTCCAGACACCTCCGGGAGTCCCCCAGATGCAACTTGGGATGACGCATGCAGTGATGATCAAGCCCACAACGTGGCAAGGGCCAGTTTTGCCCTATAAATAGATTTGAAGGGCCAGCCGAGTTTGGTTGCTCATTCTCTCATCTCTCTCCCATATTACACCGTCTTACGTGCAATTTTAACCCCCCGAAGCCCCAGTATCAACCCCGAGACCCGAAGAAAGTCCCGAAGCACGAAGATCCCAAGAAGAAAAGAGTTTCCGAGCCGAAGCTCTGCCCATGAGAAACCCGATGTGTGAAGTGATCCCGGTTTCACCGAAGAATATCTACTTGAAGAGCCGTAGTGCTGTCCGATCATCTTCTGATCAAGTGAGTGTATAGTCACTTTCATCTTACACATAGATATGAAGTATTTTATAAAATACGTGCTATGTGTATATATATTGTTGTTTATACGTGTAAGTATGTGATCACTTTCTTCTAACATATATATATATATATATATATATATATATATATATATATATATATATATATATATATATTAAGTATTTGCTATGAAATACATGTTATGTGCTTATATATTGTTGTTTATTTGAGATGAGTGTGGAATGGATGTTTTATATAGGTATTAAATGAGTTAATATGTATATGTATTTTATATCTACAAATATGTTGGGTAGAACATGGGTATATGAATTAGATGATGTGTGATGATAATTATGTGATGAAAAATAGGTGATGATAGATAGGTGATGAATTACGAGTCCAGGCGATATTGTGGCTACGTATTCATGCAAAGATACTCTAACCCTTACTATGAATTACGAGTCCAGGCGATGTTGTGGTTGCGTATTCATTCGATGATAGACTAACCCTTACTATGAATTACTAGTCCAGACGATGTTGTGGCTACGTGTTCATGAGATGATAGTCTAACCCTTATTATGACTTACTAGTCCAGGCGATGTTGTGACTACGTATTCATGCGATGATCCTTAGGAAAAGTCCTTAGGAACAAACATACAAGGAAATGTGATGTAAGGAGATGAGAGGTAACTACGATGTAGGAGATGACCCTTAGGATAATTCCTTAGGGAAGGTACTTAAGAAATAAATGGAGATAACCGGGATGGGTAATTGGGTTGATTGCTTGATGATTTAATATATATGATATAATATTGTGGGTTGAAAACCCTATATGCTCACCAGGCTCCCAAGCCTGACCCAATTAGTTTAATTGTATCACAGGTATCGATACGAAACTGCTTTGCACTGAGAGATTAAAGGAGATGTAAATCACTAGAGTAAATGAATGTATGTTATGTTTATGCTTATGTGTCTGTATCGGAACATGACATCCCAAGGTTTTATTATTTAATGAAAATACATTCTCTTTGAGAAATGTTTTGATAAGTTTTTATCATATCTTGTTTTGGGAACAAATTCCGCAACCGTTTTCTTTAAACGATTACTCTGATTTATAAAACAAAGCATAAACAAATCGGTCTTTTCTAGCGGAGAAATTGGGGATGTCACACCATGTGGATAAGCTTCTTCTATGATGGTAATCCAAGCACGTATCAAAATTCATTCTTCTTGGGTGTTCCATGTTAGTGGTACAATAGGCTCTATCTTTTATGATACAAACTAATGTTATATTACTGAATTGTTATATAGACAGGTATAGAATCTATTAGGTCTCATATAGTACATGCTATTCTGTGATATCTTAAACAAAACACATGAAAGGTATCTACTTTATTGTTCAAAATAAATCAACTATTGTTCGAAATAATTAAAAATAGTGCATCCTATGGATAAAGCGTCACAATACTATAAGAAAGTGCTACTAATATAAATTAATTCAACAATCCAACCACTAATAAAAAACATACATAGAGATCAGAGATCTATTACCTTAAAATTACTAATAAAAGACATACATAGAGATACATTACCTAAAAATTACTTAAACAAACAAGCACATTATTAAAATATTACTCATCTTCTTCCCATATCAGAAACTCGTACAAATACTCTTTTTTCATAGCATTGACTTCCTTTTTTGGTTTCTCCAAATTGTACTCACGAAGTGCTAATTCATTATTTAGCTTTCGAACAATTTCTTCACCAGAGTGGATCGAACTCTTGGTATATTGGATTTCTTGCCTAGTAGTTACGATCCAATTCTTTTTACGGTCAATGTCGTCCCAATAGTTATCTAGAGGTTTTCGTTGGAAAGCAAAATCCTTATAATCCTTATCTACATCAGCTTCTCTTCGTAACAACACCTTTTTCATTTCCTCATCCATCTTCTCCTTATTAGATGTAGATGGCTTATTGGTGGATGTAGATGGCCAATTAAATTTCATCTGATCTTTCTGTCATTTTCACACTCCAATTTTTTTATTTTTTTGTTGATTTATGAATTAATATCAAATTTACATTATATATAACATCAGATAATAGTCAACAGCTAGAAGATAGTAGTCAAAACCTATATTCAAATAGTCAATCACGTATAGTAGTAGTCAAACGCTAGTAGAGAGTAGTCAAAACTTATAAAAAAGTAGTTAAATTACAATCATGTTTTTGAAATTCACAATACGATAAGACTACACATAAATCAAGAGTTAATGGCTAGTAGACAGTAGTCAAAACCTATAAAAAAGTAGTAAAATTACAATCATGTGTTGGAAAATCACAGTACGATATGACAACACATAATATAGTAGTCAAAGGCTATTTGATAGTAGTCAAAGTGTATAAAAAGGTAGATAAAGTGTCAATTATATATAGAGACTTATATGTATGGGTCTGAGATTTACAAATTGTATACTACTCGTTATTCTATAACCATAATACACATACAATCATGTCTACCTCTCAAGAAAAATGGTGGTTAATGCCACAAGAGAAGCGATTGCAACTATTAATAAAAGAAGAGGAGATCAAAAGCGAGATTAAAGGCATTGAAGAAGATAGGAAACAGTTGGATGACTGACAAGCCAATATTTGGTCTAATATGAGGTCGGTTCAAGACAAAGAACGTGATATAAAAACTGCAAGGGTTTGGGTACGAGATGCAATAGAGTACGCCAACAAAGAAGAGGTTAAAATGGGAAAGGTTCTAAAAAACATACAAAAAAACAACGAGTGGGTGCTTCAAGAAAAAACAAAATATCCAACTGATTTTCCACATCTTTACATTTAATCATTTTTTATTAATCAACTAGTAAGTTTATGTATTTTATTGGGTAAATTACACCAATTGTCCCTCGTGCATATATCAGAAAGCGTGTTTAGTCCCTATTTTCAAAAATTAACTCGGACCGTCCCTCGTTTGTTTTCAACTTGCACGCTTCATCCCTCAAAGGTGATTTTATTGCGAACTTAGTCCGTTCCAGAATTGAAATGACGATAATACCCTTGCGTTTTTATTTTATAATTAATTTATTTTTACCCTTATTATTATTAGATTTAAAAAAAATAAATAAATAAAACCCCTTCACTTTCCCCACGCTTTTAATTAGAAATAAACACACAGATACGATGAGAGGGAAAGTGCAGACACAAATCGTTGGCCACCACCATCATCTCCACCTTCGGTGAACCTTTCTCTCCATTTATCACCATCTCCAGCCAATTCCGTCAGCCCTAGAAACGAGGATATCAATTTCATATCGATAACTCTTCTTGGATTCTAATCTTCGATCTGCTTCTTTAACGGAAGAAGGTTAGGGGTTTTTGATTTTGTTGTAATTGTTGCTTGTTCGATGTCTTGTTTAGATGAAATAGACTCATCATAATGACTCTGGTGATCTCCTCTCCGTATGGACCAAGACTCTCGGCGGTCCCCTCTTTGTTTCCGACGGGTTCTACATAGAGATGGAGACGTTGCCACCGCCTAGGGTTTTGATCTGCCACCTAGGGTTTCTGATCGAGCTCCACCTCCTGTTTGGGGATCAGTAACATAAGAAATAAAGTGTGCATGATGATGGGGTGGTTGTCGGAGGTCCGATTCTTCACGTTTTTTGGGGGTTAGCATTACCGATATGAAGTTCTTTGATAGCAGCGAGGTTTGGGTTGACCGCCGATGCGTTTGATTTTGAATCCTCCTTCTTATACTACAACTCGTGAGTTTCTATTTACAGGTTTATGGTTTGATCTTCAGGTTTAGGGTTTAGTTAGCTTTAATTTCATGTTCTTGTTTATTAAATTTAAGGGATGATCGGACATAAGACACATCTTCCAAAATAGGTGGTGGGAGAGAAATAGGAGTGAAAAGTGGTGGTTTCTGGTGGTGATAAGTGGTGGTTGACGGTGGTCATAGGTGATGATAAGTGGTGGTAGCTGAAGTTGAGAAAGAACGTGAAGAATTTTGACATTTAATCAATAATGGAGATGATGTTTATATTTAATTAAATATTTTTTAATAGATTAATAATTTATATTTAATAAACATATAAAAAAGAAATAAATAAGGGCAAAATGGTCTTTTTATGTCCAGAGGGACGAAGCATGCAAGTTTTAAGTAAACGAGGGACGGTCCGAGTTAATTTTTGAAAATAGGGACTGAACATGCTTTCTGACATATGTACGAGGGATGATTTGTGTAATTTACCCTATTTTATTTATGAGTTTATCTATGTAATATGTTTTATATATATTTATTCGCTTGTTTATTATGATTAATCTATGTAATATGTATTATTATCTTGTTAGTTTGTTATATAATAATGTTGAATGTTTAATAATTAGGGGGCATTTTGTTAACATAAACTAAAATATAACCTTAACAATCGTGTTGAAATTTTGCACATTAAATGTCACTAAAAACCTACTAACCAAACTAATTTAAAATAGCTTATCTAGAAGATCCATAATATATCATGTCCATCTTACTGCCAAATTGTGTAGCAACACTAACAGATGTCGTCGGTATACCAATCGATTGACCTGAAACAAGATGCTTCATGTACATCAACTTGAATACACCATATTTTCCAAACATCCCTTCTTGTAGGGGCACATCCATAACATCTGAAACAGTAATGGATGCTTTCTGAACAGGCAAATCCATGTGGTTCCAATAGCCAATGTCCAGTAGAATGTGGTCAATAAGATCTTCAAAACGCACAAAATCAATAAGCTTCACGGCGCAAAAAGATCGGAAGCTATCGTACAAATTCAACGACAACATGTTCATCCACAACTAGCCAAGAACCCAATGATGTGGGTTGACGCATATTGGAAAATAAATCTATTTTAAGACACAACCGTTGCAATTAATTAGAGCGTATAATTAATGTAATATTACAATTTAATTGACTCATATATATATTATTTTTTTACTCACATGGTCAACTTCTAGCGAATATTTACATCCATCCAAACAGTCAATTAGATTTCCCATTGCACTTCCTACCCACGGGAACATCTCAAATGCACCGAAAAATAACGATGGCATGATTGTCCATCGTGCATCATTCGGTCTCCGCTCATTCAAAAGTCTTCCTCATATGTCAACATGCTGTGGCAATCATCTTTTTTTTTGGGCTGATGCGCCTCGTCCTGATCAACATCAAAAACATCACAAACATTCTCCCAAGTCAACCTACTAATATGAAACCACCACAAGATATGAGGATATAAATTATTTCGTCGTATCACAACATTTCCCCGAACTATTGGGAACACCTCCCGTATCCATATCTTGTAATAAATATACATTAATTTATATGTGGTAGCAATAAATAAATTTATCAAAAAATAAAGACCGAAAAACTTATAAATATATTCTTTTAATTAATAAAATATACCTTCAAAAGACTAACAAAACCCGATAGTGTATACACATAAGGTTTTGTAGGATGTTTGGACATATGATCCTCAAATTTTTTAAAACATACCCGACAATTTAGGGTATGTTTTACTCCATAGATAACTCTCCCAAAAGAACATATATTTAAAAACAAAAATATTAATTGAACGTATAAAAAATAGTATTTTATTAAAAAAATTAAATTGAAAAATACCTATTCCATCCATCTAGGTTCTCCACCACCCACAAAAATTCATTGGAACTTTATCATTAGGTTCTTTTCCCAAAAAACATTGATTCAGAATATATAGCAAAATGACATGGACACCGTCGTGAGCCGATATTTCATTGAATGGTTGACTCAAGATACGGAGCTCTAAATCTTCTACAAGTAAACTAGTATCTGTGTGGTATGGGAAGACTCTGGACCGAAATGTATTTTTACCGTATCCGTGTTTATACATTGTTGAAAATTTGATCCTTGATCTAGGACACCGACCCATGTAAAGTTCGGACACAATACAAAACTCCTCGGGCCCAAATGATAATGTACGTCTAGAAAACCTAAAATGTACATGGTCAGATGAGTCCATTTCAGCAGTAGGACATAACATATGCAACAACAACCCATGAATAAGAAGTCCATCTCTGGACTAAGCTGGAAGGTCCAACAAGTAACCGAAACTTGTTGTTGAAAAAATATCTCGCAATTGTTCGTTCAAGCCACTCAAAATTTCATACAACTTATGACATGAAGCTTTGACATATATGTTACACATCCTCCTTTTGCTTGGAAGCTACAAAATTAAATAAACATTAAGGTTAAATTAGGTTTTATAAAACAAAAACAATGTTAAAGAAGAAGTAGACAAATCACACAATATAACAATTAATCATTCATTTCATATATTCTATTTACTTTGTATAAATTACCAAAGGAAATTAATTGACAACATTTTTTTGTATTTTCTATACTAATAGTATACCAAATATAGCATTGTACTTTGAAAATGGTGTGACAATAACATATTTTATAACAAACCCGAAACTACCAAAACAAAGTGTTATTTTATCAATATATTATACTTCAAAGTATTTACACATTATAAACACAGAAACTTCTTCAAATAGATAGTACATTGCTATTGTATACTGTAATCGAGACATAGAAAATAACATATTTTTTCAAAAAATGCAAACATGGAATCATAACATGTATACAATCGTTAAAATTCCGTAGAAACAATTTTTTTTTTGAATAAAAATGAAATATATATATATATATATATATATATATATATATATATATATATATATATATATATATATATATATATATATATATATATATATAACCGTAGGTTTTATGAACCCTAGGGTTTTACATACAAACATACGGTTTCTTTTTTCTTTTTTCAAAAAAAAAAAAATCACATAATCGACAATATATACAGTTGTTTATTGGTTATAAACTTTTTTAATAAAAAACCGAAAAAAAAAATAAAACCGCAGGTTTCCAAAAAACCTACTGTTTAGCTATTTTTTTGAGTTTTATAAAAAAAATGAAATAATACTATACATACAATTCCAATCATGTTAGATCAAATTTTAAAAAAATTAAAAAAAACGAAAAGAAATGACGTACGGTTCATACAAAACCGCAGGTGTACAAGTTGACACTGTACAATCTGTGCATTTGACACTTATACACCGTAGGTTTCGTATGAAACCTACGGTTTTATTTTTATTTTTTTTTCGATTTTTTTCAAATAAAAACTTAACCTCATATACAAAACCTACTCCTAATCACGAACACGGTAAAATTTTGATAAAAAAAATAAACAAACATGGTTGTTCTTCGGGCGCTCCATTAGAAGAAAAAAAGTAGGCAAACCAACAAAACAATAATGAAAAATGACCTAATTTGAAAAATTAAACATTATATACTTTAGACTAATGGGTCACGAAAAAGTAAACAGACCATAAAAGCAGTAGTCCATTACCACGAAAGAGTAGATTTCAAGCAAAACAGTAGCCAACGCCCGTTGACCGTGGTTAACTGTATATTGACTACTCTTTTGTTGATTATTTTTGGCTAAGATGTATTTTTTGGCTTATTTTTGATAAATCATTAGCCATTATGGTTAGATTAGTAATTCCCCTATTTAAAAATGGTATTAGATCTCGAACATATTGTAGGTTAAAGTATTTCCGTGTTTGAATTGCCTAAACCTGCAAAAGCTACACACAATAACCTGTTGGAACAAAATTATAATCACGGTACTTTTGGCGTTTTATTCTAGACACATCACGGCCACTATTTCGTACTAGTTTCATGTATTACGCAATTAATAGGCACAAAAAATAAATACATGCATGCAAATAACTTTATTTCTGAAGAACACCCCATACCTTTTTGTAACAGTGTAGCACTACTACAAAGAACCATATGTTTAAATAGATGCTAATTGGATTGAACGGAGTTATTCAAGTGGTGTGAGGAGGAAAGGATACTCAAGAAGGAAGTGTAAACATAGTGTGATGTTAGACATAACGGACTTGGTTATTACTAGTAACATGGCATCAGGTTGAGGCTTGAAACAATATTACAATTGTTGTTATTTATTTGAATACAAACAGAAGAAAAAATATATATTTTTTTTATTTATGTATGTATAAGTTGGAGTTAGACTATTTGACTAACAAAATGTCTAATAAAAAGGTTTAAGGTTCAATCGAGACATATACTAACTCATCCTTCTAAAAAAAAAAAAAAAAAAAATCAAGTATGTAACTAAATCAATACAACATTAGATAAATTACATATTAATAATTAAAACTGTTAATTATGATTGTCAAAAAGGTCAATAATTTAAAAAAAAAAAAAAAAAAAAAAAAAAAAAAAAAAAAAAAAAAAAAAAAACTTTGTTTTGGTGAACAAACACAATTATTGTTAGTTTGATGAGAAGATTCAAAGTATGGGTTATGATTGATTTTGATTTCAATGAGTCGTTTGGTGTGTTTGAATGTAATGCTTGTAGTTTTGTGGGAATTAAGCATCAATTATTTGCCTACTTTTTTTGACCAAAAACCCATGTAAAATGAAAAAAAAAAATCTGATAAATTATATCCTTTAATAAAAAGATATCAATCATATATTGATATATTTATAGTGATATCAATTGTATTATTTTAGGGGGTGTTTAGGATTGTTTTTTAATTTAAAAAGTCATTTTCAATAAAATGATTTTTTTTGTCTTATAGTTTTTTGCAAAAGAACGTTTTAAAATGTGTTTGGATTATCTTTTGAGAGAGCAAAGGATAAAAAGTCAAAAGTCACAAGAAGTTATAATTTGTAGCTTTTAAAATCACTTTTTTTTTCTTCTTGTGAAAAAGTCATTTTAAAAAGACTTTTAGAAACATAATTTCAAACTTTTAACTTTTTGGAAAAGTTAAAAGTTCAAAAAATGCTTTTGAAAAGTAATCTCAAACACCCTCTTAGCACAAACACCCTCTTAGCACGGCTTTAATAAAAATAGCTAAAAATCACAAGTAAAGATTATGATAATTAGTGTTAACATGTGGAAACTCTAGTTGTTTTAGTACGCAATATTGGCTTCATATGGATCGGGGTCATACGATATTGGCATCACATGCTAGATTTCTTCAAAGCAGATAAAAAAAGGTTGTAAGGAACGGAGTAAGATGAATATGGGTGGACACAAAACCAATACAGAGCCAAAGAAAATATGGTTGGTATGATTTATTCTTTTGGAACTATGGAATTTTATTGAAGTGGCAATAGGTGATAAACCATTTTCAATTGGTGAAATGACAAAAGTATATGTGGAAGATCTTATCGTTAGAAAAATGCAAAGTTATGATTAACAATGTAATTTCTAACAATGAAAATTGAAAGAACTATAGTTCATTCGAAACCTTCTTGTGTTATGCAGTAAGTAAGGATTTATTGACTTAGATATCCAATATGTTGGAGGTTTGTAGGTAAGGATTGAGTTGTTTCTTTTATGGTGTGTAGTAAGTTTTTATCAAATGCGAGTGTTCAGTCCTTATTTTTTGAACTTATAATGTAGTCGTCGAATTTGGTTTTTCAAAGAGAGAATTACATTGTTGAAAATAAAAGGTATTCCATTGAATCCATGGAGTATACAATTGCTCTATTTAATTGCTAAAAATAGGGTGAAGAGATTTATGGAACAAACCTAACTATACAACCTCTGCACAGGCAATAATAAATCAAAACTTAACTTATTGACCTTATTAATGCCTCTACAAAAGTAATTTTTCAAAATACTTCCCTTAGGAGATGGTTGGTTGGTCCCTATGTAACATATACATTTTTATATCAACTTATATAACCAACAAATGATGTGTTACATGCTTAATATTTTTTAAATGTTTAAAACCATAGTTTAAGTATATCGTTTTTTGGGTAAAATAGCCCAAAACTTGTTTAAATGCTTGGAATAGTGGAGTAAATGTTGGATCACCTTAGAATAAGTTAATGTAAAGTGTTAGGGTTGGTAAATGTCAAGATAACAAAGTGTAGTGCTCTATGGGCATGTATACGAAAAGTATAGTGCCTAAATGGAAAATATAGGTCCAAATTGAGATTTGAAAGTTGGAACACATCTTAACACAGTTATGTGAAGTGTTATAAGTGGTAAAAGTTAAGTACACTCCAATATTTTAGGCCAAAACATTACAAAGTATAGCGACTAATTAGGAAAGACTTTACACCAATGTTTTTCTGAAATGATTTTTTGAAACATGATAGTCTGAGATGAAAAAAGAATGGATGGGAGAAAACCTCATCGAGAATGTAGCTCTGAACGAAAAGTTATGAATTCTTAAGTGTTTGGTGGTCAAAGTGGGTACCCAACATGGGTTTTAATGACCCTAAGTCACAATATACATGAATTTGGCCCTATTTGATTCACCATTTCATTTCTAAACTTTTGTAGACTTCAAGGGCACCAAAATTAGGTTTTTTACAAAATTTGTGAAATCTTGCAAAATTGTTGAAGCTTTCAAAAGTATACTACCATTCTTGACTGTGTTTCATTTGAGTTCAACAAACCATGAAACTAGGGTTACATGTTGAGGATTATAAGTTGAAATCTTGATATTATATAGGATAGAGATGATCGATAACTTATTATCTTATAGAAATCATGATTAAATTCTAAGAAATAGTTAGTTATACACACTACTAGAAACCTGGCCTACAGTGACGGAATTTGCGACGAATTCTGTCTGTAGCTAATTAGTGACAGTTTACTAAGGGATCAGCGACGGAACCCATAAATATTTCGATAAAAAAATTGTAGTATTTTAGAAAGGTATTACTAAGGGATCAACGACGGATTATCTAAGATTTTATCAACAAAAAACCCTCCCTCGCTTAACCGTCAGGAAGTAAAACCTCCTAGCCAGGGAACAGCGACCGATTGCAAAAATTAGAGGCCTTTTTTTTCTAGACCCTCGCCAAACCCTCGCAGAAGATCTATGCCTCCTTTTTTCCATTCCCCCCTTTTCTTTCTTTTCTTGTTCCCTCGTTTTATTCTCATTCCCTCTAAATCCTTCAAAAGGCGAACAATTTCCTCCCAAAGCCCTAAATTACCGTCGAGTCACTCATCCGCCCCGGAAATCGCCTCCACCATAGTCAATCTGCATCGCTCCTCTTTGAAGCCTCTGAAAGGAAAACCTAATCGGAAATCACGTCCTTGTTGGCTTTCCTCTCGGTCCGTTTCCCTTCCTTGTTGACTCGCCACTTAACTCCTATCTAACGCCTTTTGATATATTGGTTCATCATATGCTGTTGATTTAGATCGTACATCTACTCAACAGCAACAACGGTGTCGATCACCTGATAGGGTAACGGCAGCGGTTCTGTTGGTGGTCTGGAACACTTTGAAAACTTTTAGTAATTACAAAAATTGCTAAAACGAAAACGCACAACGAAAGCAAGAAATCGAAAACTCACAACGAAAGCAAGAACGGTGGGTAGCAGCAAACAACTGAAATCGGCAGCTCCAAAATGTTTGAAGGTTCCAAAAATGATACAAGCATCAATCCTCAATGTTAGGATGCTATGAATTTCAAACAACCAGTTCCATACGCGCTTCTCTAGGTTTTTGTTTTCTCTATTACTAATCCTAAATCGAACATTGATCCTAATCTTAGCTAATTTCCCAAATCACTCGTAAATTTTAGAAAAACTATAGTTTTGAATTAAGTTTGGTCATTGTGTTGTGTTTAATTTTAGATTTATGGATTGTTAAATCCGGCATGGACTTCTGCAAATTTCCGTTGATTTAATCTGGTTCTTTGCATTCGATTACAAGTAAATCGACTTACTACAGGCGAAGATTAAAAATACATCTTAAAAAAATTAGGGTATACAGGATGACAAATTGAAAATCATTACCAACTCTAAGCTTTTGGTAGGACTAGGAGGGGTAAAATAGTCCAATAAATGACTTTAGCATGTAAGTAAACCTATAAATTTATTTGGAAATAATTTAGGGATTGACTATTTCACCCGTTTGATACAAATGTGAAACTTCAGATAAACAACACAGAGAACAGGTATGTGCTTCATGTAGCTCTTCGTGCTAAAAAGGCACAACTATAAACAGTGATGGAAAGAATGTTGGTAATTAATTATAATCTGTTATCACCTTTTTTTTTTTACTATTCTTATTTAATAGTCAACTCAAAGTCAACTAAATAAACTCCGCTCTTCTTTTCTCATTTTTATTTAGGAGAGTATTTCAAACCTTGTATGGATGGTATGGAGAATGAAAGTCACTTTGATGTAAGTGTATATAAATCTTTACATCATTTATCAGTTTTGCAATCTTACTTTCTCTTTTTTAAGTTTTTTTTTAATTCTTTCATTTTGTAGGTTGCTGATGTTGTTTTAAGAGAATTAATATTGGTTCATCTTGATACAATCATGATAAATTTAATCTGCTAATGTGAGCCATTCTCATTTCATCGATTATTCACTTTATATGGAGAGAATTTTGGATTTCTTTGCTTGAAAGTGTTCGCATGTGTTTTTTTTGGTTGCCAGCTTCATGGTGCAGAAGTTTTTCTCTTTTATTTATCAAATCTCTATACCAGACAACCCTGATTCACTGCAAACTCAGGAAGTTCTTCTGCTAGGTCACTTGGTTAGAATATATGTTAAGGTAAAAATCAACTACATTTATTTAACCATACATACATTTTGAAAATATGGAAGAGTAGACAATCTTTTCCTGCTCATTTTCAGGAAAAGCTTCAAGAATGGCTGCTAAAAGCTAAAAAAAACTACTTCAAGATGAAGTTGATAACAGAAAGAAAAACTTTGAGTTTGGAACTTGTATGTTCCAATCCATGTCACTCTATAATTTACTCAAACTCTAGATGTTAAAACATTGTTGATCTAAATTCTTGTTTTTGTTTTTTTGGGTTTAATTATTTCAGTAGATGATGGGAAGAAGGCATTGGATAAGAATCATGCAAAACAAGTTGGTTCAGCTGTTGAAAATATGTTGAAGACTGGAAGATTTGTTACGCAGTCGACTCTTGATCTGAAAGAGGTACTCATTTCTTTACTAACTCTTGTAGAAATTGTTAGAAAAATTTAACTTTGGGTAATCCCATTTGTTTTCTAGAAAGCTGGTATTGGTGGAAGCGTTCTTGGTCCATTGTTTGTGCACACTGCTCTTCAAACTGGTCAGTTTCTTCAACTCCATGTTCTTATTCTTAATTAATCTTCTTTTTGTATTGTGTTGCATTATAAAATAAAATAAAATAAATCTTATTATGATAATTTCTTTTGATAACATACAGATCCAGAAGCTAGTAAATAAGCTGGAGGACGCCAACTTCGCTTGTAAGTATACATATTTTGTAATAAAGTTCATAAAGCCTTACAAAATCATGAAATTTGTTATAAATATATGATCGAGATGCTTGTAATTAGGCAATGATTTTACAATATATTTGTTTTAACCTCCAATCTGTGTATTTTCTCCAGTCTCGCAAAATATTGATCTAGTTGATGTTGCAAAAAATATTACAGGCTTGGATCCCAAGACAACTTTAGGTTCATATTTTCCTTTGTAATTCATTTATTTCAAACAATATTTTTTTTTACATAATTAATGTTATTTTCTTCTACCAGTGTAGTTGTTGTAGTCTCCAAGGGAATGGATCTCATCTACTTTAGGGTAACTACACCATTTTTTTCTTCCTATTATACCCTTACTCTTTATGTTCTCTTACATAACTTGATTGCATTTTCTTTGTTGTTTAAGGCCACAAGCTGTTTAAAAGCATATGGTTCCATTCATGAAACACTAAGTTTAAAATCTCATCTTTAAGAGTGAATTACATGAAACATAATCTTAGTCATGTACCATGCACATGCTATTCGTAGGACTAGGAGGGGTAAAATAGTCCAATAAAACATATTACATTCTTTTAAACCAAAACCTCTCAATTTTTTTCCGTCTTCCATATCACATGAAAGATTAGTTTTATTCTTAATAAGCAGCCCTTTGTCTTTTCTATTGAATGTCCTTGAAGTCATTCTAACTAATACTTTGCAAAAGACAATTATACCCTTGTTTATTCTTACATGACTAAATTCATGTCCAGGGGCTCTTTGGTATGTTGTGTTCATTCTCATTCAATATATATATATATATATATATATATATATATATATATATATATATATATATATATATATATTTACCAGTTTTATCTTGTTGATAATTTTTTTTGGGCAGAATGATAGGAAATCTGCAACTATGGAATCAAAGATGGGCAAGCTGTGCAAATCCTGAAAACGATTTTACACAAAAGATTCTAAGGTAAATTGTTCTTTTTACTACTTTTACTTTCATATTTGTCATCAATTGATTTCCAGAGTTATTGATAAGGTTGGTTGCATGCGATCGAAAAAGGGCCAATGGTATTAGAGACCATGAAGGTTAGTTCTGTAATTTTCTTCCTAATTTAAAATTATGCATCCATTTTTATAAATGCTTATTGTGCTATTAGTTTTGGTGTGGTAGATCAAACCCTAAATGAGAAATTTCAGAAGACCAATATGCAAACACGGTATTTTCTTTCACCAACATGTTTTTTCATATTTTTTTGGTCGGAATCGGAATCCAATTCCAGTCTAGTCATGCATTTAGTTTAGCTTCCAACAAACACCATATCTCCTTCCATTGCAGGAAAAAGTAAGTAGAACTTTGTTAGCCTAATTCCATGGGATGTAACGGGAATTAGAATCCAATTCCATTATGATCCTTCTTTCGGATGCAAGATGTATTTGGAAATGCAAAATATGAGACGAAATTGAGAATTATGGCACATTATACATGGAAATAAAATATCACTCAATATTAAACTTTTGATATTTGATGATTTTGATCCTTTTGGTAAAACATTGATATTTGATGTTTTTGGACGTTTTGGTAAAATTTGAAAGTTGATTTTGGTATTTTTAATATTAGTGTTTGGTTTTTGATTGTATAATTATTTGATGTTTTTTATATTTTTTGTTATAGATTTGTAATAAACAAATTAATATTATATATTTGCGAGGGATCAGCGACGGAAACAAAAAAAAAATCACATCTAAATTTTGATAGGGATCAGCGACGGAATATAAAAAAACAGGTTTGCTAGGGATTAGCGACAGAATCTAAAAAAACAAATATAGAGGTTTGCAAGGGATTAGCGACCAAATATTTATTTATTTTTGTCGCTGATGTCCTAAAATAACGGTATTAAGGGAGCAATGTGCGATGGATATTCCGTCGCTAAAGTCGTCGCAAGGAAAATCATGTGTGTCGCTAAATCTCTCGCTAAGCCATTAGCCACCTTATATTTGGTTAGGGAGTAAGTCTGTCAAGATCCATCGCAAAAGAACTTTAGTGACGGAATAGCAACATATTTATCCGTCGCTAAAACCCACGTTTCTAGTAGTGACAAAATATATAGTTTGAAGTAGTTTGATTTGTGATAGTCAATATTGTATGATGATGAAATAGGTGGATGTTTAGTAAAATAATAGTGGGTTCATGATCATTTTGTATAAGTTATGGAAATATAAGACTCATATATATATATATATATATATATATATATATATATATATATATATATATATATATATATATATATATATATATATATATATATATATATAAATTTGGTATGAAATGATTTAAGATTGAACATGAAATTGTGAAAAAAAAAATGGCTATTTTCGAGTTTGAAAGTCATGATACAACTCTATATTAGAAAAATCATATATAAATGTAGAAAGATCGTATAAAAGTGATTCTAATGGGATTTGAATATATGAATGTATAATTTATTTATATTAATTTATAAGTTTATAATTATAGCTTTGTAAAAATGAATTCTAATAGTGTTGTCAACCTGAATTTTGACAACTTGTAGTTGTTCTATTGTAAATTTTGTATAAAATCATAGAAAAAACACAATAATATGTTGTCAAAAGAATTAGAAATCTAGATAAGAGTACTAAAAATGTATTTTGATGCTATTCTATGATTCTTAGGTTTCGTATGGTAAAATAGGGCTTAAAACAAAGTTGTACATCTGATTTTAAAATGTAATTGTCAAATCGAAAAGAATTTAGATAGTGTAAATGGTAATACTTGATTATGATACTAGGTTTGTGTACTCAGGGAGTTATATAAATCACATTGGGATTTTGTGACATGTGTTTCTACTTTGGAAAGTCGGTGTTGTATCGAGGCTTTTGATTTGATCAACTAAATAGATTAAACAACACTGTGAATTTATGTGGAGATATATGTGTACATTGTGATTATGTGTGCTTATGTGCTTACATGATTCATGGTACTCTTAAGTTGTTACACAGAAAAATTTTAAATTTATTTTATTCATTTTTATTTCATAAAAATGCACATTATTCTATATAAACACTTTTTATTTAAAAATCATTAACAAGGTTTTCAGAACATTATGAAATTACAGGATCTGTATTCATCACTCTTTTCTCTTGTGTGTGTACAATCGAGATGCCGTTTTCCCGCGATTCTGAAGAACCTGAAACACATAACACATAACATGGTAAGCACGAAGCTTAGTGAGTTCCCCAAAATACAATATACAACACATACGCTACTCAATGCTACAATATGACCCTGTGGTTGGTGTGTCTCAGCGGAACCCTCCAGTTCTGTATCATTGGACCCTCCGGTCTGGTCTGTATCGTTGGACCCTCGGGTCCGGTCTATATTGTTGGACCCTCCGGTCCGGTCTATAAACTCCGCATAGCATAAATCACAAAGACATGATGCATAGCATATCACATATAACATATTACTCAATGTAAGCACATAAGACCCTCCGGTCACACATAACTACCACTCAAGGTAACGTATAGTAAGAAGACTCACCTCGGGTAATTCTCGAAAAGTCTCGAACTCGAAATACCAATCTAGCCGCCTCCTAATCACATAAATAAATAACTCTAAATCAGCAGTGGCTCCCAAAGGCTAGACAAGTCTCGTACTATGCTTCCCAGAAGGGTAAAAGACCATTCTACCCCTCCCCTGGCCCAATAGTCCACTGGTTGACTAAACCATAAAAGTCAATGGAAGTCAACGGTCCAACTTTGACCAGACTCGTCGAGTCAGGCAACAACTCGGCAAGTCCACACACGTAATCAGATTCCTCACAAGGTCTCACTTGACTCACTGAGTCACCCACCCAACTCGTCGGGTCTCCACTGATCGCGAAACTCGGGTAAACTCGATCCGACTCGTCGAGTCCTCCTATGGACTCGGTGAGTCTCCTCCATGACCAAACTCATCTAACCTTTTGAGGTCAGATCTGCTTATCCTTCTAGCACCGACAAATCACATAAAGGTCCAAACTTTCGTCCATGCATCATGTTTAGAGTCTAAATGTTTAGATTGTATTGTTTAATAGAACCTATTCAAAGACATATATGAATATAATGTTTAAATGTTTCAACATAAGAGATTCTATGTACAGAAATATTATAGCAAGGAATTAAACTGATATTAAATCCTTGTATACGACATAATGAGTCGAGTCCCATATGCTTCAGATATAGGATTGATTACATATACTATAATATTCACTTATTCTAATTTTTCAAATGCCTGCAGCATTGCGTGAAACGGATTAGAATTTTGTGTGACTAAGGTTGTTAAACAACTATCCAGAACATTTTAAGGTTTTACCAAAGATTGGTTTCTTGTGGATAGTTAGAAGTATGACATTAGTTGTGAAGGAACATAGTGAGATGTTGGCTTAAGATGTTTCTTGTTTAGAATTGATGGTCATATGGGAATATGGAAATGTTTCTATAATGGGAAATATTTGAAAAATCTACATGTGAGTTGGAAACTTTAATGCAACGCAAGTGTTCAAGGAGTATATCTTGAATTTGAGACTTCATAACCATGAATTGTTTCTAGTAACAAGTTCCTGTGGAACATTATGCAATGTCGAAGGCTCGGTCTGTGTTACTTAAGAGCCTTGACATCATAAAAAGACAATGCATGTAAAGATGAAATTCCACTACATCTTAGATAGTGATAAGAATTTGGAATCATGAATTCAGCATCATTGGACTAATGTCCAATTGATCTATTCACAAAGGAATGGCCATCGAGAGGTATAGTATGCATGTTTATAACATGGCATGACTAATTTTACCTAATTCAAGAGATTAGTTGATTACTCGAAATATTATACAATGAATAAATTTGTAATTTTTATGGTGATTAAATAATAGGGATTCATTTATATTCAATGAGTATGATGTTATAGTTAATTAATTTATTATTGTGTTTCACTTTGCATGTTTTACTTCCCTGAGTAATTTTCATATTATTCAAAGTTCTACAATCGTTCATGCTTTTGGAAATAAGTAGTCAATTAAGATTGCCAATAGTTAATTTGTAGATTGTTCATACGGATTAGACATTACATACGGTTTGTTACAATGTTCATGAGTACATGGAAATAGGGATTTAAGTATTGTATAAACTCACGCTTATAGATTACTTATTGGATTCAATCACAAGTAATTCTAAGATTATAATATCTTTTATTCATCAAACGGAGATATATAGGTTCTA